TTTCCCGCCCCGTCGGTAACCCAGTGGTAGGAACATCGTCAGCCCAGTGTCTGCAAAGTACTTTGCCCCGATTCCCAGGGGACCAGCCCCTCTATCCAGCGACTGAACCTGCCCACCATGACCCTGTCTGCACTTCCCTTCTCATCTGTTTGTCACAAGGACTTTCACTGATGTGTCTGCCTGGTGTAGTGTGCCCGCCTTCCTGTGCATGGCTTGTGGGGACGGCGTGGGTAGTTTTGCAAATGCATATCAGATCAAGTGGCTTTTGTTAAAGCCATTGGTCGCCGCCCTCCAACCAGAACTTAGCTTAGGTACATGGGATTTAGAAGGAGGTTTTTGGCTTCCCATGACTCGAAGCAGGTAAAATGCTAAAATGTCATTTTCCTAAGCTGAACTGAGCATCTCAACAAACAAAACCTTCATTCCGTCCACCTTCGCGTTCTCCCTCTCGTTCATCTGCTCCACCAACACGTACTGACTCGACCCCTCTGGGTCCAGGCGCAGTGCAGTGCAGGGCCTGGCAGTTGACCTGAAGCCCGCTCTGTGCCAGGCGCCAGCAGCGCAGAGGTGGCTCGGGCCTGATCTCTGCCCGCAGAGCGCCGTCTGGTGGGGAAGCACCGTGGACGGCAGGTGTGAGCACGTGAGGGGCCCCTCACCCTGCCCGGAGTGGCTGAGAAAGGTTTACAGAAGGCAAGCCTGATGAGGAGTCAGCTGGGAGAAGCGGGGCAGAGACCTGGACAGCCAGGTGCTGTGAGGGGGAGCACACAGCAGTCCCCTGCAGGAGCCCCACAGCTTGGAGCAGTCAGGGAGCGGGTCCAGCCAGCAGCGCACAGGCCACAGCGCCCGGAGACAGAGCAGGGCACAGCAGGGTTTGCTGTCGCTGTGTCCGTGCCAGGAGTGCCGTGGGCCTCGGGGTGCTCCGGAGGCGAACCGTCAGCCTTTGGGCTCCGAGCCCAGGCGCCCCTGTGAATCGAGAGGTTGGCCATGGCCTGGCAATGATGACCCACTTGCCCTCACTGAGAACAAAGTTCGGTAATGAGAACCTTTGTTGGACTCGAGTTCTGAGCCAGGCGAGACACCCACCACCTCTGATTCAGAGCAGACCGCGCCAAAGCACTGCATCGGTGTTGGCGGTGGCGGCCACCGCTGTGGCAGCCCAGTGTCCTCAAGTTGTGGGCTGACCCGATGGCACACTGAGATCAAGGCAGAGAGAGTGTTGGGGACACACAGGTGTTCCCTTCACCAGCATGGTTCCCTGCTGGGTGGTGTGGGCAGGGCCGAGTGGTGACGGTGAGGAAGCCTGCAGTGGCTGCAGAGGCAGCCCCGAGGAGAGGCCTTGGCCCGCAGTGAGCCTCTGCACCATGGCCTGTGTGCACAGACCGGAGGCTGAGGGCAGGGCCGTGACGACCATGCAGGTGGGTGGTGACAGGAATACAGCTGCATGTCGAGTGGTGTCCTGGCTGCTGAGTGGACAGTGTCACTCAGGCAAGGAGGCTGTGAGTGCTTCAGTGGGATTGACAGAACAGGGACTGGACTTTGCAGGTTTGGTGACAGTTTGGCTCCAGAGGGAGCGGAGAGTAGGAGGAGCCCAGGAACCCCTCTGGGTCCAGGCTTCCATGCCCCGGGCTCAGCTGGGCCCCCCACTCCTCAGTTGGGTCTGGGCTGGGGAAGGGAGAGGGAGTGGGAGGAAGCGAGACTCGTGAGCTGGTCCCACCCCGCGCTGGGGCACGGCTCAGGAGCAGCTCTGCCTTCTAGGAGGTCTGCCAGAGCGGGGCATCCAGACCCCACTCCCCGGACAGTTGTAGCTTTGGGGTCCTCCACAGCCCCAGGGCGAGGATGGCTGTGCTGCATCCTTTACAGCCGGGCAGGTGGCCTGGGTCACACCTCGCAGTGGGAGCTGAGGACTGTTACCACCAGTTTCCCATGCAGGCGGCATGGCCATCTGAGGGGCCCGTGTCTGTGCGGGGCACATGTGCTTCTATAGCTCCCTGGCCCCTCCCTTCTCAGGACAGTGCTCTTCTGTATGCCGAGGGGAGCAGGCGGGCCCCCGTCCTCGTTGTCTGCGCAGGGAGTGCTGGCTGAGGCAGCGTTGCACACACGGCGGAACAGGGGTGTCCGTGGGCCCGGGAGGGCAGGTGCTGCGGAGAGGGGTCTGGGTACTCAGGGCTGCGTGGAGGGGGCCAGGACCAGGGGGCCCGAGCTGCAGCCAGGGCCGAGCCCTAGGTGGGGTGTGCCCAGGAGCACGCTGGGAGGGGTTTCTTCAGAGAAGCCAGGCGGTTGGGCTCGGCACCTGTCAGCCTGCCCGTCACCGTTTGAGCCGAGTGGTTCGCCTCTGTCTGGGCCTCGGTTTTTCTCATCAGTGAAATCAGGATGGTCACACTCAGCACCCTAATTGTGGTTGTAGGCATCCTGGGACCCACTGTGACCTGGAGAGACAGGCCAGGCTTCATGGTGCTCAGAACGATAAGCCCTACCACCCAAGGGTGCCTGGGTGCCCAAGGGCCGTGGGGAGGTGCTGGTGTGGTGACATTTCTCTCGGGTTCTCCGTGTGCTGTCCTGCGGGTTGCCCAGCCTCCAGAGCTGCCAGTCCTGTGTCAGCCCTCCTCATTCTGGGGTCATGAAAGCCCTAGGGTTCAGGGGACTCAGTGAACCAGTGCTAGATGTTGCTGTGGGGTGTGTGTCGCGTGTGTGCGTGCATTCTGTGCCGTGTCCAGGAGCGCCCGGGACCTTGCCCGCTTGCCTCCGCGTGTGTCACAGCCTGTGCTCGCCCGCAGATCCGGCCCCACATCGCGACGCTGCGCAAGTACACTTACGGCAAGCACATCCTGGCCAAGCTGGAGAAGTACTACATGAAGCACGGCGTGGACCTGGGGCCCCTGTGCGGGCCCCCCAATGGCATCATCTGAGGTGGCCCCGCCCCACGCCGCCCCGCTAACCTCACCGGCCCACTGGTGAATCCGACCAGCACCCAGGATGCTCTGGTGCTGTCTGTGATGCCCACGGCTGCCCCAGGACTCCTCCCTCCCCGGAACAGAATCAGATCCTACGAGGAAATGCCTTTGTAAATTTAATTTTATTACACATGACATGTACTAATTATTTTTTTTAATTGACTGATTGCCCTGCTGTTTTATGGTGTACAGGACACTTGTACATAGGTGACCGACGTACATAGGAGGCCACATATTTTGCTCAATGTTGTATCTATATTCCACATGCAGAAACTTCAGGGTGGTTGGTTTAACAAAAAAAGTAAAAAAAGAAAAAAAAGAAAAGTTTTTAACTCATTTGCCTTACCGGCAAGTTTTGCAAATAACCCCTCCCCACCTCCTCATTTTAGTAAAAAATGAAAACAAACAAAAAAACCTGAAAAGTTTGAATTTTAGTTAAATGACCCCAGACTGGCATTTAACGTTGTTTGGAAGTGGCTTGGTTGGAGACCGGATTATGCTGGGAACATGGTCCAGCCGCGTCGTGAGAGGTGGACAGCGGACATCTTTCCCTGCCGGCCGTGACGGTGGCCGCGACCGGATTGTTTCCTGCTAACGGGGAAGGCAGGGTCTGATGACTTCGCATGAGAAAAGCATCCAGCTCTGCCTTTGGTCTTGCTTCTATAAATACATAGTGTATACTCGGTGTAGACTTTGCATATATTCACATTTGTAGGGCTCTTGTTTTGGTGTCTCTGTATCTATAGCGTCCCCGAGTAGTCCGACATGCTTTTGCTGTACAGTTGTACATTTGTATACCTGTAATGTAAATGTGGAGAAGTCCCGATCAACAGACACACGTTTTTGGTAAGAGGAGAATTAGCCAGCCCTGTGCACTCAGTGTATATTCTCACCTTTATGGTCGTAGCATATGGTGTTGTATATTGTAAATTGTAATTTCAGCCAGAAGTAAATTTCTTTTCTTTTGAAGGGATAAATGTTCTTTATACAGCCTAGGAAATGTTTAAAGAGAAAAGTACAGCCTGGTTTTATTTGTCGCCTAGTCAGACAGTAGCGAGATCCTTTCTAAATGTTATTCAGATGATTCAGTTCACACACTAGTGTTTTTTTAAATCCTAAAAAAAGGTAATGTTTTGCTTATTTTGTGACAGTCAAAAGGACGTGCAAAAATTCCGCCCTGCCCTAGTTCTCCTTACAATCAGAGCCCCTCACCCTGTAAAGTGTGAATTGCCCCCCTTTTTGTACAGAAGATGAACTGTATTTTGCATTTTGTCTACTTGTAAGTGAATGTAACATACTGTCAATTTTCCTCGTTTGAATATAGAATTGTAACACTACACGGTGTACATTTCCAGAGCCTCGTGTATATTTCCAATGAACTTTTTTGCAAGCACACTTGTAACCATATGTGTATAATTAACAAACCTGTGTATGCTTATGCCTGGGCAACTATTTTTTGTAACTCTTGTGTAGATTGTCTCTAAACAATGTGTGATCTTTATTTTGAAAAATACAGAACTTTGGAATCTGGGTTTGTGCTTTATCTCCCTCCCACGCGTCCCTGGAAAGCCCTCGCCCCGCTGGTGCCGCTCGCTCTCTGCTCATTTTGTCTGGGGAGGGGGCGGTGCGGGGGGAGAGGACGGAAATACCCAGGGGCGTCAAGCTGATGGGGCTTGAGCCCAGTTTGACCCAGACATGAGGGTGCAGCCTGCTCGAAGGCTTTCGAAATCAAGATGGTCCACATGGAAACTCAGGTTTCCAACTTTTTTTAGTAAGTTTACCCGTTTCCTCCGTGAGAGAGCACCCCCAGCAGTGTCTCTGCCATGATGCACATCTAGCTGCGTGTGTGCCTGGCGTGCTCGGGGGTGGGGGTGTCTGGACCTGAGCCCGAGCCTCCCTGCCCCGTGTGCCCAGCGCTGTAGCGTTTCGGTACTGCGCTGGATCTGGGCCTCAGATTTCTGCCTAGACTGAGAATCAGAACATCAGGCCAGCAGGTGGTGTGGTCATGGCACCGGATCCCACGCGGCCAACTGCACGTTTTCAGTCCTGGACCCAGTGGCTTGGAAAACACGCCAGAAGCATGTGCGTACATGTCCCAGATCCCGAGACAATGGAGAAGGCATTGTGGCCACCCCACTGGGGAGTGCTTTCTCACTTCCGTTTCTCTCCCGCAGGCGTGCGTGCTCTGGCAAAACATGTCAGAAATTGAGTGTCTGCCTCTGGCGTGGGCGGAAGCCGGTGTCCTGCGGTGCGGCCTGCTCTGTGCTGCGCTCCCTGCCCTCCGCCTTTGTGATCCCTGACAGGTGCATCTGGACCCTCTGAACGGCCAGGGGCCGGATCCTTTCCAAGGTGGGCGGAGGGCCGGAGTCTGGGCTGCTGTGCCCTCGGTCCAGGCCTCTCCTCCCCCGCCTCCCCCTTCTTTCCTGCTGTCTGTACCCTCCAGCTGTGCGTGCACATGAGGGTGGCCCAGGTGGGCCCCATGCCCTGGCTTGCTCACCTTACATTTCGAAGTGGAGGCTTGAGCACCCCAAGGTGCTGGGCACCCATGTGTGAGGCTGCCCGCCCTTTCTCGTCCACTGGCTGCAGCGGGAGCTGAAACTGCCACGCAGAAGTGGTCTGTGCTGCCAGCCGGGGCGGCTCGCACACCGGGCGGTGGCTGAAGGAGCTTCCCGCGGGCGCTCAGGGCAGCGACAAAGGGGAGAAAGGAGGCTGAGGGAGCTGGGCCTGGTCTTCCTGGGCCTCCCCTGCTCCATCTCCGGCAGTGGCCACCTGGCGGTGCACGCAGCCACCCTGTGGGCCCTGAACACCGTGGCACCGGGGCAGACAGGCACTGCCACTCGTGCTGAGGGCTGGGGCGAGTTACCGCGTCCTTGGCCGAGCGCTGGCCCTGCGTCCGCTGTCACTCTGCCATCATGTGGGGACTTGTGACCTGGCCTGGCGGCAGGCAAGGCACACAGGAAGGCCTGGGGGCTTGGATCTGTGTCCCTCCCGGACCGTGAAAGCCCGTGCGCCCTCTCCCTGCGGTTGGGGTGACACTGCTCGCAGGGGCCGGGTGCAGGCCAGGCCCTGCCCTCCCCTCCTGGCTGTGCCGGGGGGCGCTGGTCCCCTCCCTTCGCAGTACTCACTGTAGTTTTGTTCTTGCCGTCTTCAGTGAGAGCAGTGCAAGGAACTAGGTTAGAACGTGATTTGACACCATCCCCTCCTGATTCAAGCCTGTGTCCTTGAGCTTTAACCCAAATGCCTCAATATTATTCTTTAAGGGGCTGGCCACTCCGCGACCCCCACTCTCAGGACTTGGGACACGCACGTCCACGCGCCCACGGTGATTCCCAGGCCGCCAGGTCCAGGACTTGAACCATGGAGTTCGTCACGTGGAGTGCAGCTGCCCTCTCCCTGCTACCTGCTGCCCCACCACCACCATTTGTTTTCATCTGCCCAGTTTCTAAGACCTGGTTTGTTCTCTGTAAGGTGGGAGACTCGCAGCTGTGTCTGAAGTTGGTGAGGGTGACCTGAAACAGCACAGCTTGGAGCCCCAGCGGTGCCTGACCCCTGTGTAACACGAGTGCCCTCGCCGCTTCCCCAGCCCCCCTCAGCCCCCCTCGTCCCGCCTGTGTGTAGATCCGAGGCAGCACGGCAAGCCCGCTCCCTAGGTCGGGGGCGGGCGGCTCCCAGCCTGGGCTTCTCCCGCAGCTCGCTGTGTGGGTGCTGGGCAGACCCTCTCCCGGGATCCAGGTCCATGGAACAGGCTGGCCTCTGGCTCTGCATCCACCCTGGCTACCACTGCCCCCAGGCTGGGCCGTCCCAGTCCCTGCAGCCCCACCTGGCCACAGTGCACAGTGACTGGGAGGCCGGGGATGGCCGCCGACAGGAGCTGGCCAGTGACGACCCCTCCCAGCTGGGGCTGCCTCCAGCCAGCTCAGGAATGTGCATGTTTTCTCACGTTTTTATTTTTATTTTTTCTTGCAAAATTTATTTAATCCTCTCTGTGAGTGAGGCAGAAGGACTGAGAGCACCCAGGCAGCGTCTCCATTCAGCATTTCCCAAGCCCCCGCCGGGCCCCGGGTCAAGGCCGTGGCGTGGGCGCACTCAGGGAAGTCTAACCCGCCCCTCCACGGGGCTAGACTCTCAGAGCCCGGGTCCCACCTCTGCGCCCTTGCAGCTTCTCCTCTGTTTCTGAGACTCAGAGCAGGGCTGCAGGAGGGAGGTGGGAGGGAGGGCGTGCAGTGTAGGCACGCCGCCACACGAGGGCGCTGCCTCCTGGAGCAGGCGTGGTGGAGGCCCAGGGCCCAGGGCCCAGGGTGGGATGGCAACCTTCCCCTGGCTCTCCAAGCTCGGGGCTGCAGTTAGGAGTCCCAGCCAGAGGCAGAAGGCCTGGCCTTCCCCCGAGAGTAACCTGCTCCCTCCTCACCCCTTCTCCCATTCACAGTGCCAGGGCAGAGGGCAGGGCCTGGCTCCGGTGAGGGGGGGAGGACACCAGGCCCAGCTTGGCCTTGACTCACTGAATGACTTCACAAACCACTGCCTTCCTGGGCCTCGGCTTCCCCACTGTCAGCTGGGGTGGTAGCCCAGGGCAGCCATGAGTTCAGGTGCGTGCGACCAGGAGGGCAGCCCGGTGACCACAGCCGAGCGCCACCTTCCGGCCACACCCTCATGCACCGAGCTTCCGAAGTGCCCACGCCCCCACTCTCCAGGGCCCCGCCTGGCCCCGAGCCACCTTGCCAAGCTGCCTGTGGGGCCACAGCCTGCACTTGCAGGGAGGCGCATGGAGCCGCGGCTGTCCTTCCTCTGGCTCCTCTGCAGGGCTGGGCCGGGCTCTGGGCCTTTTTCTTTTTCTTTTTTTTCAGTTTTTGCCTTTGGGAGAGAGAGAGACACCCCTGGGGGCCGCACACAGTCTCTTCTCTCTCTCCTTTTGGGATTTTGGGCATGCACACGCCTAACGTGTTTTTCAAACCTCCGGATCTGGGGCTCAGGCCATGCTGTTGGCCATGTGGCGCCCAGCACTGTCCCCCCACGCCTTGCACTAGGGAGCAGGAGGCTGCCAGTCGTCATGCCCTGGGGGTGGCCTCTGAGGCCCCCGGACCTGCCGGGTCCCTGAAGGGTCCCTGAAGAGGGCTGCAGTGGAGACGGCAGGAAGTGGTGGGAAGGGAAGCTGGGCCGGGCCCTGAAGGGCCACAGGACACCTGGCGCCGTGGCAAGGGGCTGCTCCTACTGTGGCCATCCCTTCCACCTGGATGCGGGGACTGCAGCCCCTGGGTGCCACAGCAGTGTCCTCTCAGAAGGCAGGAACTGCGCCCCCCGCCCCCCCCCCCCCGGGGCCGGAGCCACGAGGCTTCCACCACCCCCCCCTCGTGACATGCCTCTGGGCTGCTCTAGCCCCAGAAAGAGGCGAGAAAGAATTATTTTTAGGGAGGCTTTTAAAAAAGTTTCCAGGAAAATGACTCCGAATCTGCACTGTGTTTCCAGGGACGGGGGTGTGTTCGTGGAACCATTCTGGGGTGCCCTCCCCCTCCCCGTCTAGTCCAGCACAGGAGGGGGCAGGTGTGAGCGCCTGCTCTGGCCCATGACCTTGGGCGTGACCTTGGGTGCAACCCATGCGCCTAATCAGATCTTGGCTGGGGTGGGTGTGGGGGTGAGATGAAGGGCAGGGACTACCCTGAGTTCTGGAAACAGCAGCGCAGGGTGGAGACCCCCAGGACAAGGAGCCAAGCCACCCGCTTCTGGTCCCAGCCGCCATAGGCTGTGCGCCCGTCGGCAGTCAGCGCCCCCCAGCCCCCCATTCGAGCCTCAGTTTTCTCTCTTGTGGAACGGGCAGGTAAACAGGGCAAGTGGGCGAGCAGGATGAGGCTGGGCCAGCTCTCCACACTGGGCCACAGAGAACAAGCCACCAGAACTTTCTAGCCCTCGTTCACACACTCGCCAGAGGGATGATGCCTCAGGCTGGATCTCAAGGCCTCAGAGGCCTTTGGAGCACCCATTCCTCCACAGCCTTCCTACCATGGCTCAGGGGAGAGGTCACCACCACCCAGAAGCCTCCCCAGATTACTCGAAGGGTGCCAGCCCTCCCTGGACTGGGTCGACGGCACCAAGCCAGCCTGTGGCCTCTGTCTGAGGCAAGTCTGCTGTAAACCCAGAGGGGCCGATGCCGTGAGGCCCCTCCCTCACAGAGCCCTCTTCCAAGGCCTCATCCCGTGTTGTGTTAGTGACCCCCTAAAGCTCAGAGGCCACTCTGTGGCCCTGTTCCGGGGACACCGGGCCCTACGTGGTGACTGTGGTCTGACCCCTCTGGGTCAGCTGGAACATGCCAGTGCCCAAGACCCGCAGGCTGGGGAGGGAGGAGGGCAACGCGGCAAGGCCCAGTGCAGGGGTGGTGCCCCTGCTCTCTCACGCGTGCCTGTGTGTGCCCGGCCGTCAACAGGGAAGCACCAGGCGGGCCTCTGTGGGGGTAGGGCCCTCCCCTCCCCACCTCCCCTCCCTGGCGGGCCCGGCTCCTGTGCCAAACCTGTCCACACACACAGGGCTTCTGCCATTTG